TTGTAATACATGAGCTGTTCTCACCCATGACACTCTTTCCTAGTGCTGGTGTTGGACGCACCGGAACCCTGATCTGTGCCGACATGCTGTTGAACCAACTGCGCAAGAAACCATCACAAATTGACGTGTCTGGCACTATCCTGGCATCTCGCGTCTTCCGCCGCAATCTAGTCCAGACCGAGGTAAGCCCCGGAAAATTAAAAAACAACGTTGCGATTTCATATCGCTTTTGTTCTCTCACGAGTTGCTTACCCGTATTACAATTGGTCCTAGCAAGTTCTACTCAATTCCAAACGGGGAGTGACTCATTAACATGTGGCTTGCAATAAGTAAGGTGAAGGAACCGTGAAAGGTAAGCTGTGATGATCTCGACAGCTGTGTGGAGCTTAAGCGGTGGTACAGTTTCGAAGCCGCATCTCTACTGTCGCTCAGATTTGTTTCTTGTAAATTGATTTCAGAGATTTACGTTTGCCTTAAACGTTGTATTATTTCTTCTGAAACTATTCCCCTTAAATTCTTATTTGAATGCCCTGTCTCTTACCGATACTCTACTCGTGGTCCCACATTTTTGAATCGTAGAAATGGGAAAAAGTATTAAAATACTTTCATATACTTATACTTATACTTACATACACTTACATATTATTCATTTTGAAGCGTACTATGACGAGCAAAATAAACCTCCGTGTTTCTCAGGCTCTATAACAGTCAGCAAGGTGACACCTTCACTTCTTTCAAATAGTATGTTTCAGGGGACTTTATTTTTTCCCGGCAGTTGATACTCTTCGTTGGAGAAACACCTGTTGGAGTTTATTGCTGCATTTATTAAATTATCTGCGCTTTTACGACTGGGCGCTCACTGTTTACCTATCTTCCTCTACGACGCTGTTCATCCAAAATTGGCAACAGAAAGTCATTTATCGAATGCTACGTTTCTCCCACATTACCGACAAAGTGCTGCTCCGAAGACGCACTCCCGCTAACCGGCAGGCAGCCTAACCATAAGAATTAATTGATGAATGTTCCCCCGACCGCTTATGGAACTCATCTGTCCCACTCTGTCTGGGGTCCCGACAGAGGCCCTGACAGCCGCAGTGGCTGGTAGTGTAGGCAGATGGTATTGCCGGCAAAGACAAGGGAAACTTGAATGGCCATTTCTGGCTTATTAGCCGTCGCCAGCCAGTCATACCCAGACCCAAGTGGCATCCCACCCGAGTCTCAAACTCGCGATCTTTTTGGTCAGATTCAAACGCCCTATCCAT